TTTTTTGTTTGTTCATTTTCTGATACTCTTTTGAAGGCCTTAAAATCTAGCCATCCACTAAGGTGCCCATTCTCTCTGTGGCTTCAATAGGGCAATGCAGCTTCCTACATCTAGGTGGGCCAGTCTATACAAGCAAACCTAAGAGCCCTTTGTTTGTCAATCTAAAACACCTGAACGTCTAGGAAGGGCGAGCGCAGGAGCTGAGGTGAGACACTGGTCCCTTTGCTCTCCCGAGAGTGATCTTTGCTGATACGTGCCCCTTTGTACCATCCTCACGTAGGTATGACTTCATCGAGATTCGGGATGGGGACAGTGAATCCGCAGACCTCCTGGGAAAGCACTGTGGGAACATAGCCCCACCCACCATCATCTCCTCGGGCTCCGTGCTCTACATCAAGTTCACCTCCGACTACGCCCGGCAGGGGGCAGGCTTCTCCCTGCGCTATGAGATCTTCAAGACAGGTCAGTGGGGTGATGGGTGGAGAGCGGGGTGCTGGGTGCCCCCAAGGAGACCCACCGCGGCCATCGGTGTGTCGCCGTGGGGCGCTGTCCAAGGGAACGGTGTGATGGTTATATGCGCGTAGATGGAGCCCAGTGAGACAGACGGGAAGGGTTACAAAAGTTGTTGGAGTTGGAAGAGAGACTCACGGTGACCCTGGACACAGCCTGAGATGAAAACGCCGGTTTAACTTATGATCCAACTTGAGAGGGCGCCTTGCATGGTTAGTGCTGGGTGCTGCCCGCCAGGCAGACAAGCATTATTTGTGGCACTGAAAGAGGAAGGAGCACCAATTAAATAGAGCAACAATTCTTTTTGGTTTTTTTTAAGATTTTATTTATTTATTTGACAGAGAGAGAGACAGCGAGAGAGGGAACACAAGCAGGGGGAGTGGGAGAGGGAGAAGCAGGCTTCCCGCAGAGCAGGGAGCCCGAGGCAGGGTTCGAGCCCCCTAGAGCAACACTTTTGAAAAGAATTCGATTTTTGTGTGTTTTTAAAAATCGCAATAATCTTCATGGGAAAAAAAGCAAAACTTGGTCAAACTTCCTCCTAATTACTTCATGGTTTAATGTTGCCTTTATCTGGAATTTCATGGGCAGAAGGACATAATCTTTTCAGTGTTTAGAGTCTCTAAAAGATCTTACCAGTGGGGTCATATAGTAGCTTTTAAATTCACATGTGGCTTGTCGGAATTCCCCACACTGACCCATTTTACCTTTTCCACCTGTTGACCCCCTACTTCCTAAATGCCAGGATAACCGCCTCCTGAGAAGCAATCAAAAAGATAGTAGAAAAAGAGACAGAGAACACTGCACTTCTTTTAAGGTGATTGCCCGCTTTCCGTTAGGCCCCCCTTTGATTACTTTAGGCTCTGAGAACATGGCCCCATCCTTATTTCCATAACTGGATTGATCTAACTTTTATTCACAAATTGCTGGTTCAGTATCTGCACTGACAAGCTCCAAGCAGCATGCCCTTCCCTCCAGGGTGAGAGCTCATTATCTTGAGGCTAAGCGAGGTACACCCTCCAGGTCTCCCCTCACCCCCAGCCTGCTCCCCCACCTCACAGGCTCCCACCCCATCTACCAATGCAGCCCCTCCGAGCCTGTGTTTTACAACTTGTGGACGGAGTCTGGCGCAAGGGGAGGCTGTCCGCCTTGTCATCGAGAGGCCCAAGTCCGGCGCCTGTTGAGTTCAGTGTAAGGGGACCTATTCATATATATTTTCTTTTCACTAAACAGTTCTTGAAAGGAAGTGGTAGCTGCTGAAAGCACTTTTTATATCCACTCTGTCTAAATATTTGTCAGATTTGTCTGCCTGAGAGCAAGAACGTAGAATCCAATGAAGGGGCGGGCCGGGGGAACTGTGTCAAGCCATCATCGAGCCAGAGTGGGAGCACAGACTGTCCCGGGGCACAAGTCCCAAGAAGGTCTGTCTGTCATGGGTCATCACGCTCCCAGCCACATGAGATCATAGGGACCGACAATCTATGTGTCCAGTGTCCCAGGGGCTGTTGTGAGGCTCCTGAATGCCTCGATCCATAGTCCCTAGAGTCCTGCGCAAGATTCCAATCAGTCAGTCGACCAGCTTAGCTGGAACATTCATGATACCCTCTTCGGCTGGGGAGCAATGAGGAGAAAGAAGATAAAAAGGAATAAAACAGGATGTTTGCTCTCTTCTAGTGAGCAAACAGGTATGTAAACCCTCACACGTAACAGACGCGCAGTGGATGTCGTTGGATGAACATAGGTAAATAGCTACGTAGATTGAGAGGAAAACGATAATATGAGGCAGTAGGAGTCAGCACTGAGTAAGAGTGCGATTAACGTGCTCCGGTTATGAAAACGAGGGCTCCATTGAGTGGCTTGGCAAGCGGGGCATCTGGGGGGTCAATTTGATAGCCAGGTCCCCAGTGCTAACGCCATCACTCAGCAACCCTATGCTGACAGGAAAAGGAAAGCAGCTCTAAGCAAGGTCTTCTGGGGAGCTGGCCCAGGGAAGTCTCAGCAAGGGTGAGCAGGACCATTAAAGCTCATCTCTGTTTCAGGCTTCTGGACTTAGTATTTCCCAAAGGATGGTGCCATATTCTCCAGAAAGCCGCAGTAGGAGTGAATGTGAACCCTATCCATGATGCACATTGGAAGGGATGAGGTTAAAAGTTAAGACGCCCAGGAGGGTAGCAGAACAGAGCACTACTATTTTGAGACCGCTAGTCTGTGGATGCCTAGACGCAAGAACGCCAGCCCATGGCAGGTGGCTTGGGCGTGGAGCAATGGGGCAGCCCACTTCAAGGACCAGGATGGCCTAAAGAAGGAGGAGAGAGATTCCTGCAGTGGGAGATAGCCCCACCGACAACAGTCAAATCTCTGGGGGACCATAAGAGAGAAAATGAGAACCCAGTGGTCTTCTTGGGGGCCACTGTCTCCTCCCATCATGCCTGCCTGAGAGAACAGCTCTCGGCATGAAAATCAACCCTGTATACAACACATACGTGTGCGGGCTACAAAATTCAAAGCTGAGAAGTCTAGGAGGATGAGCATTCCTCCAGGTGCCATGCCCTCCCTGCCCCCACATTTTCACTGTCGGAGTCCTGAAAGAAAATACACAAAGTTTACATCATCCACAGAACATGAAAGAAATGCGTGTACATGCTGAAGAAATCCAAACAAACATAGCTATGTTTGCTAGTCAGATTCATGAAGAGAAAGAAGGGGGGACTGTAAACACAGACACACAAAATAACCATACCGAGGACCGTGGAAGCCTGCGACTGCACATTGCCCTGGCCAGGCTCAGCTGCAGTATTCTACTGACAGATGCAAACCCGCAGCTCAGGTACAGACAGGGGGCATGTGGCTAGAGTGGGAGGTTCCTGTCTGCCCTGAATGAAGTGGTTTATAAAAGAGTCGATGTAATACCAGACTGTCCACATATAAAAGAGCAAACCAAAACAGCTCTCACACTTAAAGGATCTCAGATTGCCCAATCATGAGCATAATAGAGAAGGGAATTTTAAAATAACTTTAAAAGTAACACTGGATGCTGAATCAGTGGAAAACGTGGTTTTTTTTGTTTGTTCATTTTCTGATACTCTTTTGACCAAAGTTCAAGATCAAGTTTTCTTTTCCGGTATCCAGTGACATTTCAGAAACTGAAAGCCCTGGGGTCATTCACAGATAGAGAAAGCTTAGAGAGTGCCCCCTACTCCTCCCTGAACTGAATTCACTTTTCAAGGTCAGGCCAAGCTCCGTTGGGATAAATCCACCATGTTTTAAATAGCTTTATGCGTGCAGATTCTTCTTTCGCTTGCAGAGTTATTGTAACATTGACGGTGGAAAAACATGGAGTGGGCATTTTTCACACCAGAGTCCTTTGGTACAAAATCATTCAGTGCAGCCCAAATCCCCCAGCTTGCGTGGACAGTCTTAGCATTGAGTGAACTGGAGTATTTGTTGACTGAGCTTTTTTTTTTTTAACCTTTAATTCTTTTAACACATGGCAGAAAAGGATCTTGGATGAGCTAGAAGTCTACAAGACTCCACTTTTGTCCCAAGAGGGTCCCCTCTTCTGAGTTCTCCTCTCCACAGTTACTATTCGGCTTCCTGCTTTCTGACACTTTGCCCACAGTCCAAACTGTGAGTGGCATGATTACAGATGAAGGCACCACTGTAATGGACAAGTTTGATTGTTCGGCACAGAAAGGATAAAACTGGTTTTCTTCCTTGTTTAAAATAAGCCAGAAGATATACCCACGTATAGCCATGTGGCAGAGAGGGATACACACTCTTTTTGGTGGCTTCTGTTTGTTTGATTTGCCTTAAGAATATCATATTGAGGGGCGCCTGGGTGGCTCAGTCGTTAAGCGTCTGCCTTCGGCTCGGGTCATGGTCCCAGGGTCCTGGGATTGAGCCCCGCATCGGGCTCCCTGCTCAACGGGAAGCCTGCTTCTCCCTCTCCCATTCCCCTTGCTTGTGTTCTTGCTCTCGCTATCTCTCTCTCTGTCAAATAAATAAATAAAAATCTTTAAAAAAAAAAAAAAGACTATCATATTGAAAATCTCTGACCACTCAAGTGCAGGACCTCAGAACCCTGGAAACTGTGGAAAAATCGCACAGGCTCCAGACGTCTCTTGGGCTTACTGGGTGTCCATGGTGGAAAACTCTGTCCCCCGTGGACGGGAGGAACCAAAGAAAGATTCCACCAAAAATTCCCCACTCCCGGGGGGATGGGGATTCCGCTGGCCTTGAAAGGGAATGACAAGAGAGCAAACCCGAGGAGGGAATGTCAGGATGCCTTTTCTAGCTCTGAAAGCAAGTCGTGGAGAGAGAGTTAATTTCCTCTGGCTAAGTGACCCACATGGAGGAGGCCACACAATGACAGTACACACTAACCTTTTCAAGATTCCTCTCAGCCCCCCAGACACCTGCCAGCTGGCTTGGCTTTACCCAACCGCCTCATCCTGGACCCTCGAGGAGGCCCTCCAGAGTGTGGGGTTAGACAGTAAACAAAGCTGGGGGCTCGGTGGTAAACAAACTGGGGAAAGGCCGTCCCCGCTCAGCCCTCTGGCCCTGGCTGCCCACGGGGCCGCCCTGCCCCTGACGGAGTGCAGAGCCTCCAAGATGCAGATGTGCTTAGGGAGTGTTCAGAATCCTGAAAAGGTTAGTTCTCGCCCCAGCTGTCGCGGGTCCCCACACTGCCAGGGCAGAGCGCTGGTTGCTGGTGGGAAGGGCAGAGGGGACGGATGGGCAGGTAGGGATGTTGGAATTTCCCGTCTGATGCTAAAGGAAGTTGCAGTCCCCCTCGTCCCACTTATTTGCATGGCACCTTTTCCAAGTCAGACCTGTGCACTTCCCAGAGAGCCATCATCAATAAAGAGCCCCATGGTGGGGCCTGCTCCAGGAGCTGCTGATGAAGACATCGCTGCGGGCAAAGATCAGTGTATTGACATCACACAGTTCTATTTCAGCGGGATCCCCAGAGGACACTTCCTGCCAGTAAACACCTGGTTTATCGAGTATTTCTGTATTTTTTCTTCATGCTTAGAGTGCCTATTATCCTCCTCATGAATCCTGCTACCTTTTTTTAATTTTAAAATCAGAACGTAGTGAAATCAGTTGTGGTTGTCTGGCCTTCACATCCGCAGCACTGACTGGTATCACCTCTCGCCCGGGGCTGCTCCGTGGGCCCGTGGCCTGGGCTGCAGTGTCCCTGGACCAGCCTGAGGCCCGCCCTGGGTGAAAACCCATGAGGGCCCTTTTAATGTGACTCCACCTAGAGGCATTCGCAGATCTGGTGGCTATAATCCTCTTAGAGCTCCCACTGCCGTCCAAGCCCGCACGGGGATGCGAATGTGTGCCGCATTTAATAGGAACGCCTCCCCGAGTCCCAAGAAAGCAGCCACGAGAGCTTCGGAGAGAAACAAGGCCATCCCCACCACAAAGGGACCAGAAGCCTTCCAAATGTTAATATACTGCCGCATTTTTTCAAACTTGCTGCTGGAGCGGCCTTTAACATCCCCAACGCCCTGCTGTGATCCACCAGCTACAAAAGTTGATTGTTAATTGTCTGGCCACTACAGAGCAGCTCGTTTTAATATAGTCATGACATGAATGAGACCCAAGCTCCCCTTTGCCCCTCCCCTGAGGCACCTTGGATCTTGGAAGGAGAAGGGGGCACTTAGTTGGCTCTGGTACAATAGGGGCTAGTGTTGAGGTCAGCAATAAATAAGGGGTAACATTGTTTTCCCTGCTGGCAATCAGCAAGCCTTCCTTAAGGATTGAAATAACTTACATTTCTGGAGCAAGCAGCTGAGTAATTGAGAAAGAAGACTCTGTTCCTCTTTTCAAGAGAATCTCTTTCTCCCTTTCTCTCTCTCTCTGAATCTCACACACACACTTCTTTCTGACCCCCCTCTACTCCCCAACTCCTCAATTGCTGCTCATCCTCTATTATGTAGAGCACACCATCTCTCCTCCCCTAATTTCTCTCCTAAAGGGAGTCTGGCTTAAAGGCTTGAGACGTGGATGTGAAGAGTATGTTGCTTCAAGGCCCACTCCAGTGGAAACAAAAACCTTATGAGGAGGGGGATCGGGGCTCAAACACTTAACTAACCCGTGTGACAGAGGCAGCAAAGAAAGGCATCTTCTTCTCTTTCCGTAATGCTACAGTTCTCTTTTACACACAGGCTCCGAAGATTGTTCCAAAAACTTCACAAGCCCCAATGGGACCATTGAGTCCCCTGGATTTCCCGAGAAGTACCCACACAACTTGGACTGCACCTTTACCATCCTGGCCAAACCCAAGATGGAGATCATCCTGCAGTTCCTGACCTTTGACCTGGAGCACGACCCTTTGCAGGTGGGAGAAGGAGACTGCAAATACGATTGGCTGGACATCTGGGACGGCATTCCGCATGGTGAGTGATGTCACCGTCACGAGGCCCTTCTCAGTAGCTTCATCTTTGCCTATGAATTGCTTTGGTAACAATAAAAAGAGAGAACAAAGACTTCAAAGCTCCTTAGGGTTTGTGTATGACCCATGATGACTTTCTTTCTTATTCTTCAACAAGGATGATTTCAGAGAAATTGCAGAAAGGCAGTTTCCTTTCTTGGAAATATTTCTTTGGAGAAGGATAGGAGGAGACTGAGTAGATACTTGGGTGAAGATGAGAAAGCCTATGGGTAATGTTCTTTTCTGCCCCAGGTTGTCAGGATTTCCATGGAAAGTGACTCCGTGACCACCGTCTCCGCCCAAATAGGATGCTAGAGCCAGACTAAGTCTGGATCCTGGGTCTGCTATAAGGCAGCTCTGCAGTCCTGGGCAGCTCACTTAAACCCTGTGTCCTATCCGTATAAATAAGCTGCTTTCATCATCATTATTATTACTATGACTTTACTATTATTAGAACAGTCATAGACGTCAAAAAGGTGTATCACCCAAGGCCCAGTGGAACTGGTACTTCTCAGGTGGAGACCAGCGTAGGTCTTTATAGTCAGTATTGGTGAGAAAACCAATCGTTCACTTTCGTAGTTAGCCTCAGCGTTTTGCTCTGTGAGGGAGGCTTGATGACTAAGCAGTTTCATTTCCTGAGAAGAGCATAAGACTAAGTCCGAAAACTTGGGTGTGAGTCTCAGCTCTGTTATTTCCTAGCCGTATGAACGTGGAACAGTCATGTGACCTTCCCGAACCTCAGTTCATTCTTCTGTAAGACGGGCATTATCATGATAGCTTTCCCGCCCGTCCCCAGAACAGAGCGAGAGAAGAAAATGAGGCCAGGTCAGGGAAAACACAGTTGCCCCTTGAACAGGGAAAAAAGTACAGTTGCCCCTTGAACAACGCGGGGATTAAGAGGGCCAGTTGCCCATGCAGTCGAAAATCCACATGTGATTTCTGACTCCCCAAAACTTAACTACTAATAGCCTACTGTTGACCGGAAGCCTGACCAATAGTATAAATAGTCCATGAACACATATTCCGTATGTTATATGTATTATATACTGTATTCTTACAATAAAATAACCTCGAGAAAAGAAAATGGTATTAAGAAAATCATAAGGAAGAGAAAATACATTTACAGCACTGTATTTGTCAAAAAAAAAAAAAATCCATGTGTAAGTAGGTCCATGCACTTCAAACCTGTGTTGTTCAGGGGTCAACTGTACTTTTTAATGTACAGGAAAAATATTAGACATTGTTCTTAAAACCTACCTTTGGTCGTTCTTTTATGCCAAGGCATACCCGAAAGGTGCTCTGTAGAGCAACTTGGTGATTGTGGCAAAGGGTGAATGTATTGAAAATGGTGTTTGACATTTCCATTTCTACTGACCTGCCTTCGTCCTGCCTGTCCAGTTGGCCCTCTCATTGGCAAGTACTGTGGGACCAAAACACCCTCTGAACTCCGCTCGTCGACAGGGATCCTCTCCCTGACCTTTCACACGGACATGGCGGTGGCCAAGGATGGCTTCTCTGCACGCTACTACCTGGTTCACCAAGAGCCGCCAGAGAGTGAGTTGGCGAGTTGGGAACCTCTGTCCTGTCCTTCCATCAGGGCTGTGAGATGTACGGTGGAAAGAGGCTGGCCTTTGGGAGGAGAGGGAAATTCTCCAGAATTCTTAGTAACCTCTGAATTCCGGGAATGGGGGCTATATCCTCTTGCTAGGCAGAGATTAATAAGAGTCGAACCCATGTGGGCCAAGTACTCATTTCTCTAGAAAGTAAGTATGTGCACCAAGAATTAGTTATTCCCCGGGTAAGTCACAGGACCATCTCCCACTTCAGTTTTCTCATCTGTGAATGAAAGAGAGGTGAGTTAGGATATCTACATAGAGTCCCCACCCTGGGCTAACATTTTTTGAGTCTTCTCTCCCTCTCTAAGCCTCAGCGGCCATTGTCAGAAAACTGAGCAATTTGTAAACCTCCTTCATGTATGTGTTTTACATTAAACATCTCTGGCCCTGGATAGAGGTTCTCTCACTAGACTGGTATATGCTTGGACTCCCACGTCATGCTTCAGTATACACAGTTTCCAAGCTTCTACCGTGTGCCAGGTACTGTGCAAAGCCTAAAGTGTAGCTCCGACCCCAGCTGTCCTGGAAATGCCCATCTAGACCTTGAGTCTCCTGCTTCCATCCACATCTACTCTGAACTACATCTTCAGATCAGCTCCTCTAGGACACATGCTTCAGATGTGCTGCCATTTATACTTAGAGACCCTAGTGAAAACTTAAAGTCCCAAAGAAATACTTTAGGGAGGATTGGAGCTGGGGAAATCTTGCCATGGTTATAGACAGCTTACCATGTGCATACCCACAGACATGGCAGCCTGGCCTACTGGAAAGGCGATGGGTCTTGTTCTGGGTTTTGCTTTTGTTCTTCTTCAAAGAGCTCATGAAGATTGGGTGACAGGAAAACAGTATTGCACATTTGCACCAAGTGCTGCAAATGGCCAGCGCAGTCACGGAGCTCAAGAATGGGTTTGATACCCGAAAAAATTGCTAGTCTCTGTCAGACACCTGCACACGCAGGTACTGACCAGTGTGTCTGCAGTATCCATGGGAAGGACAGCAGTTGAACTAATGGTGCGTAGCCAGAGTCAGTGACTTCCGGGTCCATTTGCCGAGGCAGGTGGCAGAGGGGAAGAGAGTGATGTGCCCGTGCTCAGGGAGAGATGTCCCAAAGACGGGTATTCACTGCTCTGTAATGTCAGTCTTCTGTGCCAGAACTCGAGACAGTTGAGTGAAAGAGAGAAGCAGAAGTGCCTCCTGGGTGTTTATGAAGAAGAAAGCAGGCTTCCCACGATGTATCAGCCCACCCAGATTGCCACGAGTCTATCACACATTTACCTGTATTTCAATAACGGTGCATCTGGCGTCTGTGGGCATCCGTAGCCTGCAGCACCAACAGTTCTATGCTTTAGACTGTATTTTTAATTTGTATGATGATTCTTATTTACCCACAGCCTGACTTCTTTTAGGTCCAATTTAGTTTCTTTCAGACCCAGAGGGGTTATCAAGCTCTATGACTTGGCAGAGTTGTTTTCAAAATGTGAGTGTATAATTAGGTCTTTAAGATGAGGGAGTTCTGCAAGGACTTGTCCCTAGAAGGCAGCAACATTTTGGGGGTACAAGGAGTTTGAGGTTAAGAGACATAACTCTGCCCTTGACCCTCTCCCGTCCCCAGACTTCCAGTGCAATGTGCCTCTGGGAATGGAATCTGGCCGGATTGCTAATGAACAGATTAGTGCCTCATCTACCTACTCTGATGAAAGGTGGACACCTCAACAAAGCCGGCTCCATGGCGATGACAATGGCTGGACCCCCAACTTGGATTCCAGCAAGGAGTACCTCCAGGTACTTACTCCAATACCAGAGGGTGCGCCGAGTGTGAGTGTACCGGTGGGCGAGGGAGGTGGCTCGGCTGGAGTGGACAGAGGACACAAAGAAAATAAACACAGCACACTCGAGAGCTCCATTCATTCATCCATCCAAACACCCACATGTACCAGGCACAAATAGACTCAGCCAGGCGCTGTGCTAACTGCTGGGATAAAATGATGATAAGACAGATACTGCCACCCCTTGTGAAGATTACCAGGCCTTGGAGAAGTTGTTTGGCCTGGGTGCTGTTTGCCTCTTAGTATAGATATCCAAGGAACATTCTATAAACAGTTGCAGATCTTCCTCATTCTTGGCACAGGGAGGCATCAGAGACTTGGTCGGGGGAGGGCTTTTTCCTGAGGGCAGACTTGTTGAGTTGCTAGCTGAGCATGGCAGCTTCTCATGATCTTTGCTGTTTGGAGGGAGCCCTGCCAGGAAGGTTTTTCACATAGCTATCAGAAGAACACATGGGAAAATGTCACTACCGGGAATGAAGCTCTAGTTGCCCAGATGCTCTGCAGCGTCTATTCAGACTATTGTTTGCTTTCGTTCTGAATAAGACTTGCAGTGTATGTTGAATAACCCCCCCTAAAACTATAGACTGGTCCGGTTCTCATCTCCGGGGAAGAGCGAGCTGCTAGGTCCACGCTAGGGCAATGACTGCTTTTATGACACACACCGGACAGCCTTGTGACCCATTGACAAGCCGGTCCTAGTTCTGATGTGACCCGATGACCTCTGCTCCGAGAAGGACATGGTAGAGCAGACAACAGGACAGGGACAAATACCACTTAGAAACTTCCCGGGAGTCCACAGAGGTCCTAACAGCACAACCCTAAGGCCATTTGTCACTATCTCTTCTCTGCTGCTCCAAAAACCCTTCTCATCCTTCCTGCAAAGCTTCCAGAACGTTCTCTTTTATAATCAATGTTCCACAGATTCTACTTCTTATTTTTGGTCCTCAACCCTAAGCTTTCTCGTATGGCCTCCAGCTGTTTATCGTGTGCATATACAGTACTACATGCTTCTTTTGAATTGCATAATACGCCGAGCACATATCAAGTACCAATAAATGCTTCCTGAATCAAATTTGGCCAGTGAGCGCTGGCTAAATTTTGATCACACGGAGGTTGCCGTTAAGAAACACTGCGGCCAGCAAAGGAATGACATCCAGCAATTTCCAAATGGGTTTGGTGTTGTGGGAAGAGAGGTGCCTTAAAATGTGGGTCATCTTCCTCATCAAGCCAAAGGTCGGGACTTGGTGCATAAGCCTAATTGCTTGGGTAGACTCTGGATGCCCTTTGACCCTTTAGTGACCTGAGGGACTAAATACACAATGGAGTGAGGGACCGAGGGGAGGGGAGGCGAGGCAGCCCCGAGCTGAGACGTTGCAACTAGGGCATCATAAGTGAATTGGCTTGGACTGGACTGGAGTGGGGTGGAGTGGATTTAGCCATTGTTTCTTTAAACAGCATCTGCTTTTACTATGCAGGGCAGGCTGTAGTTCAAAAAGAAGAGGTCACAGTTCTAGATGTTCGAGGATCCCTTTAAGATAAACTGAATACTGTCCGTTCAAATTTGCAAAAAAAGAGAAAAAAAGAACAATCATCCAGGTACAATTTCAAAGGTGTCCAATTTAGGGCCAGATAAGTTGAGTTTGACCATCCAGTCTGGAATTGCAGACTGGTACTGATCCCTCTGATTCTGGTGGATCACAGACACGAGTCGTAAGCTAAGTACGACAGTTCTGTCCTTGGAAGGAAAAGCAAGAGGTTGCTGCCCTCCTGTCAGGAGCCGTGGGTCCCTTATTCCTCCTCCCCTCTTCCTCAGGTGGACCTGCGCTTTCTAACCATGCTCACGGCCATTGCAACACAGGGAGCGATTTCCAGGGAAACGCAGAATGGCTACTATGTCAAATCCTACAAGCTGGAGGTCAGCACTAACGGGGAAGACTGGATGGTCTACCGGCATGGCAAAAACCACAAGGTAAACCCATTTCCCTCCCCGCCTCACAGGCACGTTGGGGTGTTGGGGTGTGCGGGAGTCTGGGGACGAGAGGAGCTGCCAGGCGACCCCACAGAGGGGAGGAGGCCTTGTTCGGTGAGGCTCAAATAATTGATGGAGGCATGGGAGGCGGTGGCCCTGAAAATATTCTTTCTTACACTAAAGCGATTGGAAAACACAGTTTCTCCGACAGCCTGGCTTCTGTGGCGTGTGGCATTGCAGAGAGAGTGAGCGAGCGAGCGAGCGCGAGCTTGCAGAGTGCTCTCTGACTGCAAATGAAGGAGAAAATGTGTCCCCAGTCCGCGCCTCCCGGTACAGGATTCATTGAGCATTTATGGCCTGAGTCCCTTCCACATGCTGGGTTAACAATCACAAAACCACATGAAACTGTGGTTCAGGAGTTACCGAGGTCTAGAAATGAAAGGGCACAAATCCTGGGAGGAAATCACAATGTCCTGAAGAAGAAAGAGGACAATAAATAATGAGGAGAAATTCAGTTTGTCGGGGATGGGATCTGAACTGGCAATCATGCTTGGCAGCAAGGCATTGAACTCTCCCAGCTGGTGCCCTCAGTGTCTGTGGTCCTCGGAGGTGTGTCCGTGTGGGTGACGCGGGGCTTCTGTTGTACACATGGATGAATGTGGGGCGCTTGGCTTTCGTAGGACACACGGCATCCTGGCGGTGAGCAGGCCTGCGGCCGGCTCCGCCAATCCTGGTTATGGGGTGCGCTCGGCACATGGGGGGCTCATTGGGAACGGCTGGTGGTCTCGCCCGGGCAGGGGACGATCTCTGTCATGCGCTGGCTCTCCGCTCTGGGAGGACAGTGCCCATCCTTCCCTGAATGGAAGCGGGGACAGGCAAAGGGACTCTCCTCTTTCTGCCGGGGCCCCTGGCCTGTCGAGCTGCGAATTGTCAAAACGGGACGCATGTGACCGACCCAAGAGAGGCCAGAGATCTTTTCCAAACACGGCCTCCTCGGCTCCTGCCACTGCCCCGAGCTTGCTTGCCCTCGCTGCCGAGACTGGAAATGTTGGACGGAGAAGATGCAGAACTGTGATGTCGGCAATGATTCACTCAGGAAGTGTGAGTTTTTAAAGCAGTGGATTTTTTTTTATTATTATTACTAAAATCGCCATAGTAACATGGCACCATTCATCTGGAAATCACAGCTTCTGGATATTACCAGGTATCTCTCTCTCTCTCTCTCCCTCTCTCACACACACACACACACACAATTTCTTCATTTCACAGACCAGGAAAGTGAGGTATTTAGCAGTTAAAAGACCTCCCCACCTTGACGTGGTCAACCAGGTCTGGCTTCTCCTTGACTTCTTTTGTTTCAGTTGCAAATATCGCTTGGAAAGGGCAAGGCTGAGTTGGCCCTGGATGCTCTGGGCAAGGGACTGAGTCCTCATGCCCCTGACAAGCTTGGCGCAGTGGCAGTGTCGTAGCCGATGAGGTTTATCCGAGGCGCGATTATTGCTAATTGAAAACTCATCCCCCTGACACTTTCCCATGCCTTCTCTCCTCACCCACCCTTTTCAGTACGAAACTGGTAGAAGCTGACAGCTCCGCCAGGCAGGCGAGGGCCAGTGCTGAGTAGGAGTGGGTCCTGGGGGAGAAGGAGGAGGCTCACCTGACTGCCTCCCTGTGCAGGCTCAATGACTAAGCAGCGCTGGCCAGAGGGATCCTGTAGCATAAGCTGATTTTACAAGCACGCAGATGGACTGGGATACTATTTAAAACACTATTTGTAGGAAATCTGCTTTTGGAAATACCTTAGCACTGCACATTTTGACAGAATGCTGTCCTCCCTGGCTTTATCCCTGGTATTCGTTCTGCAGGGAAGATACTCCTGGGAACTGAATTTAGCTTGCTGGGCTCCTTTGGAATCATTCTCAACTTTTTCATATTGGATATATCCTTCTCTCTCTCTCCCTCTCACCCTTGGCTAGATTTCTTTCCGCAGGAGCCAAAGGGTAATTTCATTTTTGTTTTGTTGTTGTTTTTGGCTTTTTAGTGAATCAGTCCTGCCCGCATAAAAAGCACTGGGCAGAGAAAAAAAACCCTTTCTCTCCCCCATTAGATATTCATTCTCTGACTACCTAGAAGGCGGCAGGAGAGAACGTAAGGCCTGCCAATTAGGCGTTGGCCCCTCCCCTCGCTGCCTTGCCCCACTGCGGGTGCGGTGGGCGACGAGGGAGACCTGCCCTTCCGCCCCGCCCCTCCGGGGTTGATCTCCGCTCGGGTGGAAACAGTTGAGTGAACCGTGCCGAATAGATTTGTCAGGTCTGCTGCAGTTTGATTTGCTGCCACGAAGGGGAGGTGGCTGAGGAGGGGAGTTGGGGGCAGGGGAGGGGCGGGGAGAGGCTTCCTCTGTGCCGCGTCTATAACGGCCACCGCTGAGCTTCTCTCTGTAGCCACCGGCGGGTGGGCGCCGTGCCAAGCTAACTGGGGCTAGGTGGTGGGCTTGCAAGCACCATTCAGACAGCAGGACCTGTGAGCAAAGCAGAGCAGAGGTAGAGGCGGCCGCGCGCTCCGCTCTGCGGTGCAGGGGGAGGGTTTGCAGACGCAAATCCGCGCACAGGGTGTGAAGAGGGGATGGTGATGTTTGGGGCAGAAATGTGGGAACTTGATTTCAATTCCCTGGTCACTGTCAACACCAGTGCTATGTACCAAAGACCAGGGAATTGGGGAAATCGGAGAAAAACAAGATTAATGAGTGCTGAAGGTGGTGGGCGATGGCTATGCTGTTTTCCTTGCAATACAGGATTTACGCGGTGGACCCAGGCTGGGCTGAGGCAAAGCCTGGGCCTACGGGGGAATGACTTCTTGTGGCCAGGAAGTGAGGAAGACTAAGGAGCTCTTTTCCAGCTTCCCCCAGCCTGTGAGCAGCCTCTTCTTCGTCTCTTTCTACCTAACAGGTCATGGTGAGGTTGCCTCTGACGGAGGCATTTGACTATCGTGGGGGGTATTGCAAGCATCCTCCTGGCAAAACACGGCCCATTTACACAGGCCACACATCCCCAAACCCTTATCCAATTACACATGCCATAAATATGGAACCTATGATTTTCCTATAGGGTGGGCCCTCCTTATGCATATTTATGGCATAACCACAAGGCAGAGCACTTGTCCGCCTGATGGAGCCCATAGCCAGCCCATGTGCTCCCTTAGATTATACAAATTGCTTCACATCTATTTCTTCAGAAACCACAAGCAGAAAACTATTGCTTTAGGTTTCACCAGCCATATTAATAACACCCCTAGCATAGACATGGTGTTGTAAATACAGTATTAGAAGGTTCACGTATGTGTCTATAATTATGGGCACAGTTATGTACACACAAGCCACAGGAAGGGCAGGGAGAAAAATGGCAGTAGCTGGAGGCTCAAGGCCTTGGCCAGGACCCCGCTCACCTCTGAAGGCTAGTTCTGTGGGTGTACACTGGATGGGACATGGCCAAGACTAGTGTCAGGATGTCTAGGCAAAAGGCCTTGTCTTCATTTCTCCCTTATTTGGTAAACGTGGGCATCTCCTTGTTGACATAGCCCTGGTTACCTTGCTGTTAGTCACAGTGCTGTTGGCTGTTCTGATGTATTTGGAAGAAATTTGGGCTCAAAGAGAGAGTCTGTGGAGGTGCTAAATATATCTTGATGGCCAGATTGAGGATGGGAGGGTGAGGACAGGGATGAGGTCCAAGAGTTTTCAGAATTACCCTGTAATGAGTGGCAGAAATGTGCTAAATAAGCTCATCCCATTAAGGCAGTGATGGTCTCCAAGGGGATCAGAGAACCTCCAGGTACCACCTCATTGGCTTCAGAATGGAACAGAGTTTCAAAGACTGGAATTGAAGCTCTTAGAGACAGAGTAATTTGCCCCGGGGACATGGGGAACTGTGGAGTCCCCTTGAAAGGCACCTGGTCACAGGGCTTTGATCTCCAGGAAGATGTACCCGAAATCTGATCCAGGCCTTGCTGTCATCTCACATCCAGAGGGAAGCCGGCTTCCTAGATCTTCAGTCTAGGGGTCTAGAGGCGTGCATTTTCTGGAGAGCCTCCATCGTTGTGGAGACCCAAGGGCGAAGCTGTGCTTGGACAGCATGGATTAGCATGCCCGGCTCATCAGTTTGGAGTTCGGATTCCTAGAATCCCGAGGATGTAGAGCTGAGAGAAGTTGCTTCGCGTTTGATTTGGCCACGTCCCTTCAAAACACCTACACACCCCACTTCAAAACATTCTCTGTCCTATATTTATTTTCTAAATTAAAACAAATCACTTTGAAAGCCATTGGAGAATTTAGAACCCTCCTTGAAATTATCAGAGACTTAGGAGGAGAGAGAGCAGTGTCAGAAAACCAAACCCCCCCAAGTCAGTCAGCTAACAGAACCATGTGGCGTCTATTTTCAGATCTTCTTAGAGGATGCATCGTGTGACCCTGGAAATTTCTCTTAATAGCTCCGTGCCTCAGTGTTTCCGCCTCTGCCCAAACAGAATGGTGCTCTAGCTTGTGTTGGCAGGGCACCTTGGGATCTGTAGATGGAAGGCTCTCTGCAGATATAATTAATGTATTAGACCCACAAAGCTCTTCTTGAGCAGAAGCAAGTTATCAATTTAAAAAGTAACAAGGCCCCATGGGATATTTATCTGCCTCTTTTAAAATCATAGGTCTGGAAGGGACCTGATAAGTCATCCAGACCTCTCTCTGCATCTGATGGGTCCTGCACTCAAGCTGCCTCAGATAAACATTACCCTTCTCAGTTTCATTCTTCTGTTAGGGATGCAGTTATTCCTCCAATTAATAACTTAGAGTTTCCAAAAAGTACTGTGTTTTTGTTTGTTGTTGTTTTTTTTTTTTACCTCCTGGTGGATGACTGGTTTTCCCCTATCCTTTTCATTGCAGTTTAGTTGACTATATATAAGATTACAACAGTGACTCAAGCTGTCAGCTGGGAATGGGCATCAGACTTCAGAAGTCATGCATCTGATTGCATCATCAAACTGGGGTTCTATATATTCCAAAGAGAGCCAATGCCCTTTTGAAATTCATATCCCCCAGTTTTTCTGCCCCCCTCAGTTATAACTAAGAAGAATCCAGGGCCCTAGGTAATTAAGTTTGTCCCTTATCCATTTGCCATGGGATGAGCTCAGACCTTTAGCCTCTCCACTTAGGAAGCCCAAGGGAAAATGTCATTATACATAAGCTTGGAACCTTTTCTCTCTCAGGCTCCCATGGCTGGCTTCACCCAACTCCCATGGGTGCCAAATCGTCTCTGGGAGCTGAGGCCAGCCTCCCTGGCGCTACGGCCTCGATGCCAAATTCCCAGTGCTTTCCATCTCACGGCTGTGCACTGAGGCTAGTAGGACAGGGCAAGTGAGCAGGGGATGTCGAAGGGCACAGTGATCTTGCTTGGGCTGCAAACACTCTCTTTGCCTCACTCCAGCATTCCTAGATGAGCCATGGGGTGAACACATCACCATTTCCCTGCTCTGTGATTGGCTGAGATTGCACCAAAGAGGAATGCAGATGGCAGATAGGCTCAGGAACCTTACTCCCCGTACCCTTTTGCTCCCCCTTCTGCCCACCTGCAAGTTAGAGGTACCTTCTCAAAAAATGTGACAATGTCACAAGAGGTTTTCAGTATGGAGAACCCTGCCGACCCGGTGAGAACATCTGTGTTTCTCCCCCGACCTTTACAGAAGGACATTGGCCATTCCCTTCCAGTGCTCTGATGTCCCATCTCTCCTCCAGCCCCGAATCCCTGAGCTTCCCTCCCCTCTCCTCCTCTGCTCTCCTCCCTGGTGCTTTCCTGTCTCCAGTCCCGAAACCCTAATCCTGTTAGTATGCTATGTTCCAGGGCTCTACGTCTCAATGGGGGTAACATAATCCCGCAGTAAATCTAACGGGTCCCACAAGGCACACACAGATGGGATGTGCACATCCCACCCATCTCCACCGGCCTCCCCCGCCCTACACCCCATGACACGTTCCTGCTCCTGTCTCCTCCGCATCAGCAGAACTGCTTGATGACAAAAACAGCCCTCAGTAAAGGGGCAGGAGACAGGAGGGCATCATGGTCAGAAATGAGCATTTGGTGGTTAGGGAACTTTCTCTGCCCTACCCCCATTCTCACCCTCCCTTAAGTTCCCCCCCACTGCTCTCTCTCATATATGTATATGTATACACATATATATGAGACACAGCCCTTCTGACTCTGTGTCTGGCTAAGTTCCCACATCCACTAGAATGAAAGCAGCTTTAAAAAAATTTTTTTATAGTCTTTAAGGAGGAGTTTTAAGGGAGAAATGTCAGGGCCATGATTTACAAAAAAGAAAAAAAAATGTCCATTACCTTAACATCATTTTCCCCACGTGCAACGCACCCCTACCCTGCCCCCCACCCCTTGCCTGTTTGGTGCAACAAATTAATTAAACAGGATGGTGTCCATTG